TTGGAGTGAATTGCCACTGTTGGGTGTCTGTATCCTGGGACTTAATTTGAAAATAAAAACATAAACTTAAAATAACCTTGTGACCTTCAGCTACATACAGACAGACATCTGAGAATTGTATTCCCTAAATCAGTTTAGTAAATTGAGATCCAGAGGGTGCATGGACCCTTTCAGAACAGAATTTGCTGTGTCCTGCATGCAGTTACCTGAGCCAATTGTCTGTAAACAAGGTAATGATCACCCTAAATGCAGTCCAGCCCAAATATAACCAACTTGTTATCATAACTAATTTGCCTGGAGAAGTTTACTAACCATTCTCTTTCTGAATGAGGTGATTTAGAGCCTGTCTTATTATTTTTATGTATGATTCATGCAGTGTTCAAACCAGGGGAGTTCTAAAGCTGTTGCACTTCAGTTGGACTTGGTTTCCAACTAGTAGTGAAGCTGCAGTCCAAAACTGCAGATTTAATGCAAATGTTTTCATGACAAAAAAAGCAAAATCTTTCATGTTCCTTTAGCAGACCCTGAACAGTAAGAAGTGATGGGTTTGTGTTTACTTCCAATGTGGATGTCTGACTGTGTCTGAAGTATGCATAAATAGGAGCTTAGAATGACTTAAAGAAACTTTATTTTGTGTGAGTTTCTCCAATTAACATGAGGACCAAGAAAACTCTGTAGGTAACTGAACAGGACAAAAGTTTCTGGTGCATAGTAGCAGGAATTTTTTAGCAGCTTGCCTGTTTAGCAGCACAGTATGCAGACATCCAGACATGGATGGAAAGGATTGTGATCCCCATGGCACTGGCATGAATCGTCTTTGATGAAATATTTGTTATGAAAAGTTTTATAACAGTAAAAGGGAGGTATAAAAGATGCAGCTTACAGCACAATTACCAAACTTTATAAGATCAGCTTTACCCTTTAGAAAGAGATTTTTAAAAAAAGGTTATAGTTTAACATCTGTACAGATGTCACATGCTGCAGATAGATTATGTAGCAGAGCTCCCTCCAGACGGCAGCATCCCTCTGAGGCAGGATGGAGCACACATCTGCCTTCCCCTGTGTGCATCAGAGCTCTACTCATTCTAACAATGGGAATCGTCATTCTCCATTAAGCTCATACTGAAAGCCTTGAATAAAAGCCTTAAAAAGCTCAGCTGAAAGTATTAATTCTGAGGGAAACATGTAAATCTGGATGAAAACTTCCATTCATTTTTAATCTTGCTATGGTAAACCTTGTAATTAAGATGATTAAATGACTGAATAAAACCCTATATTTACATCATTTAGAATACCACAATGAAAAACCATAATCCTGTTTATGGAAAGAAAACAGCAGAAGCATTTTAAATTGGAAACATCAAACAAAGTTTGTTATTTAAGCAGTCAGTAATTAATGTAGCTCTTGCTTAGCAAGGACAACTAAGAGTTAACTGCCTAGGAAACCCCTCTTGGAGAAAATAAATAATTGGTAATAATCAGATATTGTGTTTATGGAAGCAAAAAAAAAAGATAAAATATTGTGTTTATGAATGATCAAGTTATCCATATTCAATATATTTCACAGGAGACAAGGATTAGCAACAAAAACAGTTCTAGTGGGAAAGCTCCTGGAGTAGGCACATCAAAATGATACAGGACTCCCAAGGAAGTTAGAGGTAGCATTTCTTTATGAGCAATGGTCCAGGCAAAGCAGGAGGTGATAATCTCTTGGTGGCTGTTTGACATAAAGAACTGGCAGAAAAATCTTTTCATTTAATATATTTTCCTTCACCATTTTGAAGGAGTGGATAATATCTCTACAAAAAAATTCCTTCAGTTTGTTGCCTTTCTATTACTCAGCAAATATGACAATAACTTTAAAAACTCATTTATTAAACTAAAGAGATAAGTCTCTCATTTGAATCTGCACTGCAATACTCAGAATCTATTTCAGGTGTGCTTACTACCCCACATTCCCCCTTGATTTCCCTGTGAAATATTTGGACAACAATCTAATGAAAGCCTATATGAATAATATAAATATATCACAAGTTTGTGTGTGTTTGTATGTTTAATGCATTACCTCTTGATAATATATCACAGCATAAATAAACAGAAATCAAGACTATATGCATATTAAACTGCCTCTCTGATTAAAATCTTGTCAAAAGAAATTAGTGTAGTATTTTTTCAGTCAATGATGCTTTGCAAAGGCTTTCAGAATTTTTTTTAAAACTATATTCTGTAAGAATGGAATATAGGTACTATTTAATCAAAAGTATTTATCTTCTATTTGAGAACATATTAATAAAGTTATATCTCTCTTAATGCAGTTTTCTTTTGCTAAGTCATCTTTTTTTTCCCACACTGTCTAAAAGGGTTCAAGCTGAAGTTCTTGGGCAGTTCAGTTATTGACTGGAGAGATTGAGGAATTCTGTTGAAGGACAAATTGCTTATGAGGTTGTGGAGAATTATTAGGCTTGATATTGTATCATGGATTTATCTCCTGTGATAAGTAATTGAAAATTATTTCTAAAGGTGCTGATCAATATGAACAAGTCAATATTGCAATGCTTACAGTGTTCAGCCACAAAAAATTCTTTTTCAACAAAAACACTCCCATAACTCATGGTCTTGTTAATTTGAGATCTTCACACATTGCAAACGTGCTCTGAACAGTCTTTAGCTTAGACATATTCACTATGAAATCTTAGGATTCACTTGAAAATTTGTCTCCTGGGTGATTTTATTGTTCACAAATTCTTAGGGCTATTTAGAAGATAATACTATCTTTGCAAATCATACACATAAACTAAAATGAAGTACCAAGAAACTGAATACTTAAGGAAATTTTAGATGTTCCTGTACACAAATCCTTGAAGTACCTCTGCTTGGCTAAAGACCTTTTTATCTGGAAATTTTGTATTTATTGTTTAATTTCAGAAATGAATTCATACACTTCCCTCTGAAATTTCAGGTTTTGTCCAAAATTATTTTTTTACAAATGGACTCTGATCTGGCAGTCAACTTTCATCAATTTCTTGTATTTTATAGCCGCGGCTTTGTGGAATGATTTATTTTTGAAACATCACCTGAGGCCTGTGGAGGTAGCTCTGCTACTTCCAGGGAGACTCCAGCCATTGTATTAATACCACTTGCAGTCCCACCCCACTGCAGTACCACAAGAACTTACTAGCCCCCAGTAATTTGCAAGTAAGAAGCTGGAAGCAAATTGACTGTGATAGAATCACAGATTCATTTAGGTTGGAAAAGACCGCTAAGATCATTAAGTCCAAACATTAAATCAGCACTAGTTCCATCAATAAACCATGTCCTTAATAGCCACATTTTTCAAATACCTCCAGGATTTGTGACTCCACCACTTCCCTGAGCAGCCTGTTCCAGGGATTGACAACTCTTTGGATAAAGAACTGCATTACTTGCATTATGTAATGAACAAAAGGAAGGGAGGCTGAGTCTTCTTCTTACTGATAGGAGCTTGTGTTTACATCTGCATATCAGTGCAATTTTTCAGCTTTTGTTGATTACTTCACCACTCTGTAGAACCTTTTCTGGCTTAGCTATGGTGAAAAAATTATGCCAACAGAGGATAAAAATATTTTTCTGGAAGTAATTTTCCTTTTGGCATAGCCTACTAGTACTCAAACAATATAAATTAAAACAACTGAATGCTGTTTCTGAGCACTGTAGTTTGCACAGTAGGGGTTTGCTGTCCTGGTGATGAAAATGAAAGATACCAGTTTTCACCATCAAAGGCAACGTCTGTGTAACAGCAGTGATAAAATCTGACTAAATAAAGCACAGACGCATAATTTCAGGAAAAGAATTCTAAATATTTTGGTGACATATACAGGTGTATTTTGTGGAAGGGCAGCTCTTAAAAGGTGTATGAGAATTTCACTCTTGATTAATGTCCATCTATTGTTTCAATCTCAGCTTGTTTTGGGTAATGAAATTCAGCTGCACTGCTGGAACCATTGCTCACTTTTTCTGTCTACATCTTTTCCCTCTCAGTTTACTTATCACAATCAAGCCTTAACATCATGTACTCAATTGCATCATATAGTGTCAAACACAGAAAGAAATTGTAGAGGTAACCACAACAAGAAAATCTGGTCAGAAGGGAGAAATCAGAGAGATGGCATTGATAACTGCAATACAGCAATAATAATCTTTGCAGGTACTGAACACATTTCTCCAACAGGAACTCAGAGGAGATTTTATTTCCTGCAGATCTCCTATCTGCAATGTTACTTTTCTTCAGGCCCAAAATTTGGAGTAGAAAAATTCCCTCAGTACAGACCTCATTCCCCAGAGAAGAAAAGATTAGGCTATACTGTATCTAATGAAAACAAGTTATTCTGTCTAGCATGATATCTCCAGGTGTTGTATGGCATGCAAGTATAAGGATGTACCCAGCTGTCTGCAGATTTTGGAGGAGCATCAATTTGAAAAGTAAAAAAGTTACCTCTCTGGAATACCTATGTTTTCATGGGGGGATCCACAGGCATTTCATAGAATTTATACTAATGCTGAGTTTAAGCAATGATGCAGTTTTACAAAACTAAGTTATACAGTGAGAGGAAGTAACCAAATCATGTCTCTACTACTGAAAATAAAATAAAATTTGTATTCAACAAAAGTATCATGACATTGGAATTTGGAGCAATTTATGAAGGCTTCTAAACACTAAAAGCAATGTTCTGTGACCTCAAGGCAGCATATTCACTGCTGATGGCATGGAGACTATTGTTACATTCAAGTATTCTACCAGGAATTAAACAATCTTGTAATAGAAACTCTGCTGCTATTCATTGGCATTTGCAATATATGCAATTAAAATAGTCCTTTGGTACTCCAAAAACTGTCAGAAGAATGGTAGATGTTTCATCTTTGAAGTTCCACAATCAAATACATATTGAATCTAAAATCCTGAGCATCCATTAATGAGGAAATGGTAAAGGAGGAGCATGAATACTGGCTGCAGCCTACTGTACCTGGAGAATGAAGTGGAGGGGAGCACATCAGAACAACTCCTTGACCTTCACGTACAGATACAGCACTTCTTGTCCGACCGCTAAAATTCCCCAGATCTATCAAAAGAACAGAGCATTTTAGTTACATACCAAAGATTTTAAATTTTGTGGCTACTGTGACTTCTGTTTTATTTCCTCTTTTAAAGCTGACTGTTCCTTTTTCCATACCTTGATCTGTAATAGGAGGGCCTGAAAAATAAATCCATTTCCATTGCAAATATTCCATGTTGCATCAGCATTTTACTCCTCTTTTAGTGCACTTGCATACAGTATCAAAAAAAAGCAGCAGACTATATACATATATATATACACGCCATTTACAGATACATTTAATAGTGCTTTTATGTCCTTTTACTGTATCCTGCTTGATTTTCTCCCTCAGTGGAAGGGATTAATACACAGTGAAAAAGAAGAAATACAACTGGAGGGAACATCTTGGCTAACATTCAAACTGATGATGTTGCAGACCCCACTTGGACAACATAGACAGGACATGGTGATGACAGAAATGAAAAGCAACACATTGGTTCTAAAACTATAGAACATTTGTACTCAATAGCACATTTGCTCTGCCAAATACTTTCCTTCTTATTTCTCTGATGCTATAAGCCCAAACCAGTTGTAGGTAAGCATATTTTCCCTCAAAATTTTCCCTCTATTAGGTTAATAAGAAACATTTCACTATTGGAACAAAAATTTTTAATAAAGCTGTAGGGCAATGATATGAACAGTTCATTGTGATTATTTAAAGACTCAACCAGAAGATCCTATTATTCCACTTACCACACAGAATACTCAACATGGATTCACTTTTGGGGTGGATAGCAATACTCTAGCATTTATATCTGTAGTAAAGAGATATAAGACTTCCATTCTGCCATTAGACTGGTGTCTTCACCTGTTCTCAGGGCCAGTGATGGTTTTTGAAACCTCTCTCAGGGATTTTCTGGAGACTTTTCTATGTGATGTGGATCAAGGTGAAGAGAGCAGCAACAAGATATCTTTGAAAAGGATACCGAAGCTTCAGCAAGCATTAAATGTGGATTAGAAATATGAATAGATTTGGCCAGTGGGAGCTTTTTCTCACTGATATTGAGTAACCTGTAGCCAGACTTCCTAATTTCTGCATACAGCCCAGAGTGCTGGGATGAGCCAGACAACACCAAACAGTTTGAACAGGTGGAGCAGAATTATTCCTACCTTAATTGCATTCAGTTGACATTTCTCTATCAGATGCTAAAATTCCACATCTTGCTCCAGACCTAGTAGAGCATAAAACTGAATTCCAATGATTTTCAAAAGTAATTTGAGGGTTTTTTTTAAATTATTATTAAAATTTCTATGTTATATTTTAGACTCAATCAGAAGTTTAAAATTTATATACAATTAAATTTGTGCTCTCTTTGGCCAAAATAAGTTAGTGTTTTGATTTCCACAATAGGTGTCATGCTTGAATAGAAAAAAGGTATGTAGGATCCAGTGGAATACATTTAAAATTAGAGTTATATTACAAAACTTTGAAAAATGTTGCTGGTCAATAGATAATTAAAGATTTAAATACTGTGTTGCATATTAAAAGGAGCACGCCATGGGTTATAATACACTCTGGTGCAATTTCTCTCAAAAGTGTCTCCTAATGCATGTTACCTGACAGCATATTCTGCAGAAAAGCAATATTTTGTGTTCAGAAAACAGTGGGCTGGTACATCCCCGCATGAAAAGTTTGAATGGGAGAGCATCTTGTAATTGAAACTTTTCTTAGTCAAGTCCTCAGGTGATTAAATACTATTTTCCTATTAGTTATAGTGGCCTTTGAATATCTTTTCTTCCATTTCCTGCTTTGAATGTGCACTGGGACGGAAAAATATACTTTTATTTTCACCAAATGAAAAACAAAGATATTCTTCCAGATTTTAAAGTAAACATACTATGTATGACTCAAGTTTCTATTTGTTCAAAACAATTATTTTCAAACGAAAGGAGGAAAGTATTAAAGAGCTTTGAATTTCAGCTTTTTTTTTTTTGCTTTGTTTGTTCTGAATTGGATTTCTTGTTAGCATACAGCAAAAAAGGATTAGCAGGTACAAAAGAAGGGGTTTAGCTGTAAAACAAATAAATGTAGAGAAGTTTAAAAGGAAGAAAAGGTGAAGGATCATGCTTGAAGTTCCCCCACATTAAAGTAATAAATGCAATAAGGAAAAATCAAATTAATGGAAAATTTAATTACTTTCTTGTAAATCTCAGCCATTACATATCTAGCCACACTGGGAAAAAAAAAAGGCAGCTACTAAAAATTTGTAAAAACACCTTTCATTTCACTTTAAAACTCTAAAGAGGTAGATAATAAAAGAAAGGGTAGGCAGGATGCAGCTTTAGAGGTGGGAACTGTAACCTCTCACACAGTGACATTTGGGTTCACTACTCTTGCTACAGTTTAAACCTGCAGCACATGTGACATGTCAGAATGTCGCAGACACAGAATGAGTCTGTCCTTCGTCTTATTATGACGTATATAGTTGATTGATAATAAAATGTTTTCTTATGCTCCATAGGTGTTCATCTTTTGCCCTGAAAGATTAATTTAGTCATATCTCAGTACTAGTGGCAAAGATGATAACATATACTATGTTTTTGTCAAAGCAGTTCCTGGGGTTCCGCTACATAACTCCCATATTTTTAACATAAGAAATGGCATTGACCACTTTGAAAAAATGTAGTTTGTGTCAGCCACCATGTCTACTGTAACTTGCTATTAACAATATATATGCAAACCACACAAGACACATTTGGATGGAGTGCATGTGGCGGGAATAACCACATTTTCTTTACTGCTGAGAAATTATTCAATTAAAAAAATTATGTATTGTCACTAGTATACAACCTGTGAGACAGGAGTGATCTCCATTGTAAAAGGGAAATAAAGAAATTCCAGAGCTACTGATGATGCCAGACATTAAATCCAATGGGTTTGGTGCAGTGTTTTCTGGATGTCAAATTTACACTGCAAGTGTATTTACATTAGCTCAGTGCAGTATTTGATCTTTGAGAGAAGTTATAAACTTTGGAAAACCATTTATATATCTGATCCAAAGGAGCTGCCAGGTATTTCAGCTTTTTCCACAGTGGCTATTCCCATTTTTGGAAATGAGCTAAAGCATGGCTTTCTCTCAGCACATATACTTATGTATCGATACACATTGTGAAACAATGACATCACCACAAGACCGTTTGTTTTAACAAAATTCAGCAGAAAAGAAAACTCTTCCACAAAAAGTGAAAGGAGTAAAGGGAAATAAATGAGAAAAACCTCAAGGCAGTTGAAGCAACCAGAAGACTTTTACATGTCTAACAAAATACATACTTTAATAAAAGGGGAAATGTTCTGCCATTGACAGAAGGACTTTAACAAAAGTTGGAGAAGTTTTTTTTCACTTAATGGCTTTCCAAGTCACCTTCACTGCAGTTTGTATTTTAGGTATGTGCAGGAGGGATCATTGATTCACTGTGCTCATCACCTTGCTGCAGCTAATGGGGGCAACAGGTTTTTGTGACCCAGTCAACAGTTGAGGGGTAACTGCTATGATATTAGGAACAAATTAAAGATGAAAAACAGATCTTGTTTTTATTGTAGGCAATACAATACAATATTGTAGGCTTGGTAACCTAGCACGGAACCTGTAAAAGTCTCTGTACTTCATTATCAGTGACTTAAACCAGTCAATTCAGCTTTAAAGAAGAAATTGGATTGGTTCAGAACAATGTCCTCTGCCAGCTCGGTTCTGTAAGTTTAAACTATTTTATATGCAAATTTATTATGGAGTTTAAAATGGACATAATATGATATGTATTAAAATGTTTAAAGACATATCCTGAAGATACCAAAAGACAAGTATAAAGCAGGCAATATTCTTTCCAATAAGGTAAAAATAGCTCTACACAAGGAGAGATTCTTCTGTCAGGCCAAGGACAAACTTATTTATTGCATTGTCACAAAGAGAGGGTAGCCTTCCTCTCCTTGGATTTGAAAGACAGGACGAAGAAATAGACCTTGAGCTGGAATTGTAGCTCTTTAAAAAAGGTAAGATTTACAGGGAAAAGAATTCCATTAAAACATGTTTTTCAGAATCCCATTATAACCTAAATCAAAAACATGGTTTGACTGTACACTCTAAACAATGGAAAACAGAAATGTTCTGTTTAATAACCCACAAACACAAGCTATAGAAGAATGAAAGGTAGGTATTGAAATGATATAATGTATGATTGTATAGGAAAGTTTTACATTGGATGAACTAAACAACACAATACTCAGAGTATCCAACAGTACAAGAAAATTAATAGATTATTTTATAGTGACATACACTTATTTTCTAGGAATACCAGATTAAGTAGATAGTGCTGTATTAGTAGGGTCACTCATTTGACCTAAGAGTAACTTTTAATATTTAAATTATTCACTAGGAAAAGTGTGAAAATTCAGGAAAAGATATTTCTACCATGACAGAAACATCATCTCACCATTGATAATGGGAAAAGCATACATCTTGAAATTTCAAAAATCACATTACAATATGACTTTGAGGTGACAAAATAAGGGCAAGATTTAAACACTTTAGAATGTATCATGCTTATTATCATTGCTGCTGTTATTATGTATTACCAGAAATACATAATACAGAAATACATTAATCCTTCATGGACCATCAGACTGACATGATGTGAAAAAGGTGATTTTTTTTTTTTTTTCTCAGAGAAGTTACTATGTAAAAAGAGAAATAGAGCATAGAGAAACAATGATGCAGTTCAAGCCTGCATGACAGCAATCCTCTCTCTGTGTACACCTGCAGAGCCATTAGAGTTTTAAGAAAAGAGGGTTGATACACAGATTTTTTCAGTGAGTACTAATGAAAGATGACAAGGAACTCAGGAGAATGTTTAAGGACTTCTCTCTGAAAATGTGAAAAACAGAGAAAGGAGACACAAGATACTGTACTTATATTTAAACCAGCATCTTCAGAATCTTTCTTGGATTCTACAAGATATTTTTTCTCAGAAAA